AAGGGTACCATTAGGTCCTCGAGTCCTATATTATAGGGGTGCCTTTAGGTCCTCAAGTCCTATATTGTGAGGGTGCCCTTAGGTCCTGAAGTCCTATATTAAGGAGGTATCATTACGTCCTCAAGTCTTATATTATAAGGGTACCCTTAGGTTCTGAAGTCCTATATTATAGGGAGACCTTTAGGTCCTCAAGTTCTATATTAAGGAGGTATCATTACGTCCTCAAGTCTTATATTATAAGGGTACCCTTAGGTTCTGAAGTCCTATATTATAGGGGGACCTTTAGGTTCTCAAGTCCTATATTAAGGAGGTATCGTTACGTCCTCAAGTCCTATATTATAAGGGTATCCTTAAGTCCTCAAGTCCTATATTATAGGGTATCTTTAGGACCTCAAGTTCTATACTATAAGGGTACCCTGAGGTCCTCAAGTCCTATATTATACGGATACCCTTTGGTCCTCAAGTCCTATATTAGGGTACCTTTAGGTCCTTAAGTCCTATATTATATGGGTACCCTTATGTCCTCAAGTCCTATATTGTGAGGGTGCTCTTAGGTCGTCGAGTTCTATATTATGAGGACTCAATTATCTTCACTTTTTGTGTACTAAAAAAGTGAGTACACTCTAGAATCGGTCAGTGTGTCCGTCCGTCCGTCAGACCGGTCGGCCGTTAACACGATAACTTTTGAAAGGAGAGTCCGATCGCGATGAAATTTTCTACACAGTTCAGTCTCAACAATATCTCGATCGAGTTCGAAGATGAAAAGAATTTGCCGAGCCGTTCCTGAGTTATTGCCAAAAATACTCATTTTGTCCCTATGGCTTCCTATAGGAAAATCGACCCATCCCCACTTTCGTAAAACACTTTCCCTACCATAGTCAAAGAAAACCCCAACTATTATACAGCATTCGATAGAGAATTTCACGAGCTACAAAATGGTATATAAAACATAAAGAAACAACAAGGCTAGCTCACCTATTGCAGAGATAAACAAACGGAAATCGGTTCTGTTTTTGTCTGCGCTCTAATCGATCCATAATTCGAGCTCTATCTTCCGATCACAGAGATAATACTTCGAGGTTTTCTAGGATGAAGAACTCGAATCTGTAATCCACTTCACTCGAAGCCCCATTAGTTGAGCACTGACCAATAGAAACCAAATTATAGGAAAAACGAGTTTTTTAGGATAACTCAAGGCGAAGAGTCCAAATCTGAGCTGTGTTCACTCTGAAATCTTATTGCTTGAGTAGTAGCCAATAGAATTCAAATGTTTATAGAAAGGATTTGCCAGGCTAATTTTTATATCCGCACACTCTAGGATGACCGATTTGTCTCATTCACTTTTTGAAGTACACATAACTCTCGGATTTAAATCCGAGGTTTCCACATTTATTTTTCGTTTAAACTGATTTCAATCTATGGAGATTCGAATCTGATTGGATTCTACCTTGATTTTTGAGCTAAAGTCAAGTCTAAGCTCAGAATCAGCTGAAATATTAATTTTTGTGTATAATGCTAGTTGCTTATAATATCTCACCTGAGATCTCGCAGCACCCACAGCCAAATTGCGCTGTAGGCTCTGGTATATTCTGTACGCGTGCCTGAGCCGGCTTGTCGCAGCAGGCACTGATTAAGAATACTTTGATGATGGTATTCTGTTCGTTTGGTAATTTTTGATAATCTATAAAAACGTATCCTTTTTCCAATAAACACAATTCATCGATAATCGGAGACATAAACAATATCATTTGGCTGCGAGAAGGCTTATGTGAACCAAACCAGATGCCAGCGATAATTGTATTTTCCAGAGCAAAACGTTGATTCTGTGGAAGCTCGTTAAGAACTAGCAAAATGGGCCAAATGGACGTTTTTGATCCTTTTTTAATTTCCACACCATCTATGTTCATTGTGAGAGTAATAAAGCGATCAGAACATATCATCTTTAGTTTTTGATAAAAATTGCCATCCGTAACATCACTTAAACTATTGCTTATACATGATGAAAATAAGTCCACACTAATATTGTTGTTCAATATAACTTCTAACTGTTGTTTTATCGAGAAAGTTACGAAAGTATCCAGGTATATATTCGATGAAAAGTGATGTCCACAGTTTGAACAATTACATGAATTTGTGGATGCTGAAGAACAATGTGAACATGTAAAGAAATACGAACGTGATGGTTCAGTTGCTGCAATCAGACATTTCAGTTGATACCACGTTCGTGGTGCATTTTTCACTCCAAAAAGTGACAACAATGTTAAAAGATCTGAGATACACTGAATAGAGAGTCGATGACGACGTTTGAACAGAATAAGTAAGCAAGCAATATCTTTCATGGTGATTGGTCTCTCTGCTGAAGTTCCATTGTCATTAGAGCTGCAAATATTTGAAAAAACAAACAATGGCAAGAATGAACATCTGAATGTTAGTCTTTGTTCAATTTAAGTCAATTGGTATTTAGCAATCTAAGCAATACACAAAATACTATGGAAAAGATATTTCTATCCGATCAGTTCGTAGAAATATACTCTTTATATAGTTTCCAAATCGAATTCTTATATTCTCCAGATGCGATAGTACGAATTTTCGTGAACAAACCAACTAAAGTTGAAGAAAGAAAATATTATCTTCACTGGAAATTCCTGACAAAATAAAGACTGAACTATTTTTATTCCAATCCATGGAAAGACGAACAAACACAAATGTTATATATGTGTCCAAATAATACAAGGTGTGAGAAATCTGCTTTCTATCGATCTTTTACCAGTAATAGATTGAAATCGAGTAGATTTTTAATCGATTATTTCAGATTTTTTGAAAATAGTCGATTTTAATCGATTAGTTGTAACAATCTATTAAAATCGATTCGAGTTTAATCCGTTATCTCGATTTCTCAAAAAAATAATCGATTGAAACAGATTTCTAAGATTAATCTATTAAAATGAATTAGATTTTCAATCCATTATTTCAGATTGTTTGAAAATAATCGATTTTAATCGATTACTCTGAATAATCGATTAGAATCAATTAGATTTTTAATCTATTATTTCAGATTTTTTGAAAATAATCGATTAAAATCAATCATTTGTAGCAATCCATCAAAACCGATTCGATTTTTAATCCATTATCTCGATTCCTTAAAACAGCTTGTCAGCGCAGCTCCTGTGGAGCTGAAATGCGATATTCACATATATTCTTAAATCTTAATATTCTAACACATCATTCGTAAACTGAAAAATTTCGTGTGCACCATAGTTGTTTTCATTGATAATCAATGATAAGAGCGAGACTTTGTTATTGATTTCTTCATTTAAAACAGAACTTTTTTTTGTTTGAGAGCACCCTATTTTTATCTTGCACTGTTGCTATTCACTCATTATTTTTCAATTTTTTTAAATCGTTTTTCTTAATTTAACATTCTTATTATTATAATCATTGAATTAATTGACAAATAAATCTGTTTTACATATCCATGATATCTACAGAAGATCTTACCCACTATTATATATATTAATCAGCTCACAAACAATAATGTTGATTATATTTCAAAATTATAACTTGATCAATCTTTCAGAAAAACTAGAAAGTCTGACGCCTATTGTTCTTAATTGCTAAGGTCTGTAATGGGGGCCTTCCGTTGCTAAGTGTCTGTAATGGATGGAGGGAAAACCCGCCAAAACTTGAAGGTAAAACTTACAGTCACTATTTTCTTCGAAAATATATGTGAGTTCCACAAAATAACCGATTTTAATCGGATTTTCAGTCGGTTTAGCTAGATATTAACCTTCTGTAAACTCCACAAAAACATCATATTGGTAGAGATCAATTAATCGTTAATTCTCAATCTTTAATAGTAAATTATAAAGACATAGAAAACATGAACTATGTTCAAACGTACCTATTTTCTTTTTTAAGAAAGAATATATATTTTCATCCACTTCCATCTCCTCAGAATCGATAAAATCTTCCAGATTGAGTTCATCATTATTAGTTGATGATGTATCCATATTTATGTTGTCTTCATTGTTCTCTGATGCCTGTTCTGTGTCTATTATTTCATCATCACGTAACTCCTCCATTTGAATTTCAGGATCTTGCAAATCACTTATTTTGTTCTGACAAGCATGATGGTGAGTCAAGGCATCACCTGATATTTAAGAATTAGAGATTTTCAAATTTATTAGAAAAAACCTCACCTAAATCTAAATTTCGTTGCTGAATCTTTCTATATCTGTATATTGATCTTTTACTAGACATCGCAATGTCAAGTGAATAAAAAAAATGAAACTGAATGAGAATATATATAATCTATAGTTCATTAATGAAAACGATAATCCAATGAAATTTTTATATATTAATAGTCAGAAAATCATGAGTAACAATAAGTTTCAAGAGATAAGAATAGTTCGAGATAATATCCATCACAAAAAAATACAAGAGTTAAAAATAAAAAAAATACAAGAGTTAAAAATAAAAAAAAAATACAAGAGTTAAAAACAAAAAAAAATCATAATCAATACTTAAACAATATATGGCAGAGGAACCACTATGAAGAAAACTATTTAGATCATTAAGAGTTAGAGAAGAAGATCTATCTCGAAAATAAATAGTCTATCAGTAAATTTTTTCTTCTCTATTTGTTATCAAAAAATAAATGATCTAATTCTTTTTCTTTTCTTATTCATTAGTGTGCTTCACTGGAGACTTTGCCGTTTGGCTTTGAATAAATAAGCAGCTACATAATTTCCCATAGCATGTCGTATATCAACATCAAGAACGGAATCACTTGGATTTGATATCCTAGTATACTCTATAATGTAGAAACATCTTAATAATTATAAGAGAGTTGAATACATTAACTTACTAATGATCATCTTTACAACATCACTAATATCACTGAATTTGAAATCTCTTGAAGGATTCGGGTACTTGAATTTCATTATGTGTCGAGCTGTTTCCGTAGCTCTTCGACCATGGCATTGTTGCAACTCTTCTTCACTCATATTTAAAACAGCCATAATTTTTTCTAAAGCATCACCCAAATCTTCTTCACCATTACGATTATCAGTTAATATATTTGCAATTTCAACTAAATATTGTATCACCCTAGGATCCTTTGGTCGTGCTAAATTAAAAGAAAATTATTGAAAGAAAATATAAATTGATATTATCACATTCTCCTTCTTCAAAGTTCCACTGAACAAATTTTGCTTAGCAAAAAACGTTGCGAGAATTAATTTTTCAAAGTAAAGCTTTCTTGCTTGAAACTGTAATTCAGAATATTCTTAGAAAGATTGATACATTACAGAGCCCGAAAACGAACCGAACTCGAACCGAACTAAGACGGTTCGGTTCGGTTCGAATCGAACCGAACCGATCTCGATCCGGTTTTTTAAAATTTAGTCGAACCGAACCGAACCCGAACCGCTCTTTCAAAAACGTAGTTGAACCGAACCGAACCCGAACCGCCCTTTTTAAAACAGAATCGAACCGAACCGAACTCGAACCACTTCTTAAAAAGCGACCTTCAACTGAACTGCGCCTAACTAATTTTTGAAAAGCGAATAAATGTGGACAAGTACATAAAAAAAATGATTAGCTGAGCTATAATCTTTTTTGTAAGATTGTGATGCTATATGGGATTATCAAACGATCTTTAATCTAACATTTTACATCAGGGATTGTGGACGATCAATTTACATTTACAAAAATTTATCAAGTCAAGAAATCAATTGTAAAAGATTTCATTTTATTTTGAATTTAAATCGAATTTATATAAAATTCAAAAAAATTCAATAAACTCAAAATAATTTAGATTACATCTAAATAAATTTGAAGTATTTTAAGCTCCATTTTAATTAATTTAAGTTTCACTTTGTATAGTTATCTATAGAAATCAAAAGAAACCTTTTACCTCTTAGGTCTACTAGCAATGGTATCTGTACAAGTTTTTTATTATCGTTAGAAAATAATAGGAACGGAGGACGGGCGTTTTCTTACGAGATCTTCTATATTGATGATCGGATGTTAACGTATAATAGCAGTTTTTCTCTTTATTTCTGATCTATTTTTCTTGAAGTCATGTATTTTGACGATTGGGTTGTTGCATTTTAATTCACAAAAAATTATTATTTCCAGAAATTAATTCTCAAAAATTTAAATCTAAAATAATTTTAAATTTATTCCACATAACAATTTAAATTTATTTTAAATTAAAATTTTGGTATCAGAACGATTTTTATTTAATTTAAATTTATATTGGCAACAGTTTTAGTTTAACATAAACTTACAGGAAAATGCCACGCCTATCAGGAACCGAACCGATCTCGAACCGGTTTTTTTAAAATTTAACCGAACCGAACCGAACTCGAACCGATTTTTTTTAAACATAGTCGAACCGAACCGAACTCGAACCCACTTTTTAAAGACATATTCGAGCCGAACCGAACTCGAACCAATTTTAAAAAAATTAGTCGAACCGAACCGAACTCGAATCCGTAAAAGTCGGTTCGATTCGGGCTCTGATACATTATTTTCCCGGATTAGGAAAAAACACATACTTCGAAAAACCGAAACAATATTTTTTTTCTCTGAAAATTTATGTATTCTGATATTTTTTTCGGTAGAAGAAATTTTTCATTGATATAAACTATGCTTCACTAAGAATAATGCATTAAGCAAGACACGAGTTGTCAAATAAAAACTTATTGCTTACGCATCCATTCTTGCTTATATCGGTTCACTTGAGCCTGAAGATAAAGACATTCTTTCTCTTTAGCAGAATTGGTAGCATATGGAACAGTAAGACCATAATTTGAATACTTTTTGCGCTTATGAGAAATATTAGTATCTTCTTCAGCTGATCGTTTGTTATCATTTGAATTTGTTGATACTACATATAAATATATCAAGATTACTTGTAAACAAAAACAGAAACATACCAGCTGAAGTATCTGTTGTTTCCATTAAGGAATCATCCTTATCCTTTTCTTCTTCTTCAATAATGTGAAGTGCCGATGATAATTCAATATCATCTTCATGATCTTCACTAAATTGAACATTTTCAGAAGATTTAGATTCAATACTTATTGTTGATTGTAATTTCTGGTTTTCTTTTGTTTTTGATTCAGCTGTGTCATTATTTGTGCTTTGTAAATCTTTTTCGATCATGCTCATGACTTTTAAGCAGTCGGCTTCAGTTCCTAAAGAAATTTCTATTAAAAAGATTAAAGGAACAAATATTTAAACAAACCCATAGCCAATATTGTTCCTCGCCATCTTTCTCTCGAACTGTTTTGACATGTCACTGTTATGCCGGGCACTAACTTTGATACTTTATTAATTGATGAAACTTTATTGTATTCAATAATCAACAACACGTCAGATGTTTCTTCACGTACTAGTACCATTTGTTCATTATTTTCAGTTGAACTGTTCGTTTTTGGAATAGTACTTGTTTTTACTTTCGTACTTGGTTTGGAAGCCATTGAATGCCCAATAATGATGAAAAAATTATCTAAAACAAAGAAAATAAGCATATTGCGATTAATGGTTTTGTTGAACGTCTTTCGAATTTTGAAAACCACCCCTGTTGTGATACTTTTTTTCTGTAACCAGTCAATACGTAAAATACTTGATAAAAACGAATTGACGATATATCATGAACAAAAATAATCGTCGTCAATATGTCCATGATTTCTTTGTTTACTGGTCCACTAGTAAACAATACAATGGTCATCGATTACCACTACTCATTTATATTAATAATGTGAAAGCACAAAAATTAAGTTTGACGCACCATCATGAAACTATGATTTAAAAACTTTATAAGCAAGAAAAATAATATTTATCGATGTGAAGCTACCACAACACGACGAATTACCACGACGAGAGAA